GCGCACAATGTTCTTTTTCCTATAAGTAAAGTTTTAGTCACCCAATCTAATTCAGTATTCAGATTTGAGAGCTTTGACTTAGAACCAGGTTCTTCCAATAAACTCGATGGCATAATATCACAATGACAACTTTGGTAAGTGACATATCATTGGCAAAATCACAGCCAAAAAAGCTAACAGTATAGTTTTAAAGATTAAGATCTATATAGTGGCAAATTTTATTTAGGTAAAAATATTAGTCAATTTTGTGGTGCTATGCAGCATAGCACCACAAAATTGACTAATATTTTTACCATGCTTACTATAATATTTCTACGTATAACTAAAGTCTATTTGTGTTCACTTGAACCATCATTTTCTTGCTATAACTTTTAACTTACAAGTTCTATGTAAAAACGAGACACCTACGGTGCATGGCCTCGCCCCTATAGCTGCTATGGTGCATGCCCTCACTACAATAGCTGTTTGATTGTCAGCATAAAGAACAGCATGAAGAGAGTCTGCTCAACACTAGCTTCCTGCAGTTGCACTTGCTCTTGAAAACCTGCAGAAGTAGCAGCACTGCAGCACATGCATGCAAGCAGCTCCAGCCCCTCCCGTGCATGTAGATTGAAGGTGTGGCATTACATCATCAACTATTTAGAGAAATCTGTTCATATTTTTTGAAGGCCATGTTCTAATCTACTGAAAAATGCTATCAGCTATCTCTAAAGTGCCAACACAACGGAACTTGGCTCAACTACTCGATTTTCTTACTTTGAAGCTTCTGTACCTAGAGCTTGTATTTGAGCAACATAAAACAGTTAAGAAAGACTTTCAAAGTCAAAAAGAAAGATCTAGGAGCTTAGAACATGCTGTGCTAAAGTTATTGTTTATTAAAGACAAATTTCAGTTGTACAGAATGAATGAATGAATGAATGACAGACACACACAACAACTACCTATACCTTGCATAGGCAAGGCCAATAAACATACCAGTGCATTCCTCTTCCTTTGCCACATTTATTGTAATACTTCAGAATTAGCTAGTCACATGAACCATGCAAGCAGAAAGTACAGCTATATTGTTCACAATACTATTTTGCATTGTGTTAATTATTTGGTAGGGTCTCGAATGACTTCCTGGGATATTAAAATTACGGAGATGTGGAAATAACAAAAATTTTGTTAATTAATTTTAGTTTGGAAACAAACAATTTGACTTTAGCAGCTGTTCTCGGAGTAAAGGACAAAATTAATTGATGGGTGAGTGCACACATAATATTCAGAAATCAATACTATTATTTGATGTAATACTAAGCTATACCATTTATTAAACAATTATAGTTTTAGCATACAGAAAGGTGTAGCTAGGGTATGATACTTTTACCCCCTATACAGACAATTAAGCCAGTAATCAATTAAAAATGATTCTAAGATGAAGCCACAATAAGCAAGAATTGACTCGTATATTAGCTGATTATCCACTATTTTATAGGCTCATTATGCTGGCCAAAGTCCAAAATTTTAATGTGGTAGGCAGCATTTTGCCTCAAGTACATGTAGAGAGACATGTTGCCAAACCACATCAAAGGTACTGGCCTAGTGGACATTTAGCTTTACAATTTGTAATGAATACTATCACACATGCCAAGTTAATATAATTACCTTTCTTTTGACCTTGAACTGTAGTATCTCCTGGACTAGCAGTGCCTTTAATAATGAATAATAGTTTTAAATTACAAAATGATTAAAGTACTTTGCAATGACTTTTCACCTCCCTTGTTAATATCAACTTTATGCCTTTGATGGTGACCTTGGCCTTTAAATAAACAATCTGTCACTGTCACATAACATTATGCTTACTGGAATATTCTGTTTCAAGAATCTCTACCACTGTATTTAAAGGGATATGTCTTTCAAAAATTTTAAGGATCCTTTTAAATTCCATAACTAATTGATTTTCTTTGTTGTGCTTGCTTAAATATATTTCTACAGCGTTAATCAGAAGATCAGCACTAGTGTGTAAATGATTACTATCTGAAACCTTATTACGAGTATACTCATCAATAATTCCAGCTGAATACAATTCACTAGCTAATATAACAGGATGAAGAACAGCTTCTTTAAATTGTGACGAAAAAGAACGAAAAAGTTTAACTTCTCTGCTACTAATCCTAGCATTCATGACCTATACATAACAGAAAGATAGTATAATCTTCAGGCACCGATTAAATTTGTAGTTTCCCATTATATTCAATTAAGTGCATGAAGCTGGCGCAGGCAAGCTCTTAAATAAAAATAGTAAGATTAGTGACGTAGATGGGTACCATAAACCATCACATAGAATATTTAGATAAAAAATCAATTGCAATGCCATAAAATATATTTTATCACATTTTAAATCACACTAAATGAAAAAAACCAAATTTTAATTTTCGGTACTAAATTTTCCAAGGATTACTAATAGTTTTAATAATTATTAACAATTGCATGTATTAAATATAAAGCAGTTTTTATTCAAAATGCAAAATTTGCAATTAATAGTACCAGTATTTCAAAGTAGCCTTAAGGTAGCCAGCAAAAAATGATTAAAAACAGTAATTAGTTACAATGCATAAAGTTCACTCAGTGATTTTTTGGATATTTTTTTGCCAAAGCACTCAGCCCAGTAAAGTTTGACTATAGATGATTAGTGTACACAAATCATGATCATTGTACAAACCTCATCATTACTTGGATAAAATTCAGCTACTATATCTGCAGGTTTAGTAAAAGAAAAAAGATT